CAATTTTACAATTTTGAAGCCTCATCTACCAAGGATGATTCTGACCAAGTTTGAAAAAAATCCATCCACTGGTTCTTGAGAAGAAGTTGAAAATGTAAAAGTTTACGCACGACGCACGACGGACGACGGACGACGACGGACGAAAAGCGATTGGAATAGGTCACTTGAGCAAAGCTCAGGTGACCTAAAAAGTTTGACTGACTTTTACAGTCTTGCCATCAGCAAGTGACACTATCTCATGAATGTTAGAATTAATGCACAAACTTACCCGGAACGTCTTGCATGGATCTCAAAATTTGAGGTACATATCTATGGTATACCATATTTTTCTACTCTTTTTAAATATGACCTCAATTTAATTCTTATTTGTTTAACGAGGATTACAAACAAAGGCTATGAGTCTCTCTCGTATGACCTTAGTTTGTGTATTCATCAAATATATTATTTCTATATTTATTGCTGCATTTGCATTGACTATTTCATATTTCTACCCATGTAAGAGGTGGGAGAAAACGAGTCAGTCGTTATGTAGGTATGTGGCATATTGATGTTCTAACCTAAAGTGCAGAATATGTTGTTGGAACCTCGGCAAAGTCTCAGTTCTGACCAAAACTCTACACCCTCTAGTTGAATTGGCATAGTCCACAGACCTACATATGATAGACTCTATTAATCACAGATATGTCTAAATCAACTTGCATGACACTTACTCCATCCATGGCAGCTTCTATACCCATTTAAATGAAATTCTATGCATGAACATGCATACATTGCCAAAAAGTGTCCTAAATGAACAACATATTTCACACGTCAGGGAATTGATACCAGCCCCTTGCATGATAAAAACCTATCTTGCTATATAATACTGATGTATCACAGGCTGTTGTTTAATATGAAAAAACAAACAAAACCTGTACTGAAAACTTACTAATTAGCTCTCCATCAACCAGATACAAGTGTGTATGGTACAGCAAAGTGCTCAACAACTTTAAAGTAGAATGTTTAGGGGTGATTAAGTATAGATGTCAGAATATTGATGTTATTACAGGTAACTGTAATTCATACTAGTCTTGTGAAAAATAGTATCACTATTGAGATGCAGTATGTATAGATACATTTCTCATTACAGACCATAAATATTGTGGCTGTTTCAATCTCCTTTCACTACTGAACATTTATATCTGACCCCAACTCTTGAAACTGTCCCCATTTAACATCATAATGTTTGTTCAATTCCAAATTTTATCTGATACATAATTGTTTGAAAGCACCTGCCATTACCAACACAGCTTCGGATTAATCATCAGTAATCTGGACAAGAAAACTGAATGAAACTTCAGCAAGCATCAATTAAATACTGTAACATATTTCAGCTATATAAACTTCTTTCTCATAGACCAGATTTTAAAGGCAACAATGATGGAAATAGTTTCTTTTTTTTACCCTTAACTCACAAGCCTTTTCCTTCAATTTATTCAGTAAGGTATGTGTAATTTACAGAGAATTATATTTTAAGTTACGGTATTTGAGGATCTATTGCGGTATGACTAATAGAGGATGTTATCACTTGGTTTGATATCTCCATGGTAACAGCTGTAGCTGTTATATCTGTTATGTTATGAGCTATTTCCTCATTCACAAGATCTGAGTGTAAAAAATCACTGTGGTACACGATCTCCTCCCGGCCGTGTGGATCCTGAAAGTCAGTGGTCATAGACACCATCATTTGAGGCTGGGCGACCACTACTACATTAGCAGAGCCGTGTTCTGCCAGGTTTTCATCCACCATGGTTCCCACATTGGCTGCAGCATCGCTGGACTGGAACACTTCTGGAAGAACACCGGATAACTAGGTCATTAATAGTAATACTGTATACTTGTCTAAATACATCACTATAATGGCATATTTCTGCCTACAACTTACCTCTGTTGAATTGATTTTAAAATATATCAACATAACATGCAATAATGTCGATATAATTTATGGATATGGTGCAATGTTTAAATTCTGTAGGTAACCTGGCTTTTGATAGTGTTAACTTAATGCTCAGATGTGACATGGACCTATTTATCCAAACAGAACAAGAATACTTGACCAATATTTTTCCAAAATATTATCATGTGATGTACTAAAATCTTTATAAGTAGGTTTACGTAAGATTAAGCCTCGTTTTAGGTTTAGTGTATCAGCAACTAAACTAGATTTATAAGTGGCAAGTGGATATCACACCTGAGCTAAGCATTGATATGACAAATAGCAAAGTGGCCTACTTACAAGATTAATATCTCAGCAAAATTATCTTGGAAAATGCAGTCATATGTCAATGTAATTTATAAATTGTGTTGACATAAGCTGAGAATATGTCGATTATTTTATGATTGTATGAAACCCTGTTGCTTAGACATTATGATTGTATGAAACCCAGTTGCTGGAACATTATGATTGTATGAAACCCAGTTGCTGGAACATTATGATTTTATGAAACCCTGTTGCTTCGACATTATGATTGTATGAAACCCTGTTGCTTAAGACATTATGATTTTATGAAACCCTGCTGCTTGGACATTCTGATTGTATGAAACCCTGTTGCTTGGACATTATGATTGTATGAAACCCTGTTGCTTAGGCATTATGATTGTATGAAACCCTGTTGCTTAGACATTATGATTGCATGAAACCCTGTTGCTTGGACATTATGATTGTATGAAACCCTGTTGCTTGGACATTATGATTGTATGAAACCTTGTTATATGCATTACAATATCCTTACATTTACAATAAAGGAAATTCTGTTTCATCTTTCTGTGTGGTATCTTTCAGTTCATGATACATTTTAAACAAACTGATTATCAAATAGTGGAACAGCCATTTTGTGAGAAGAAGGATGTGTTTTACATTGTTACCATTGCTGTAAGTTGACCAAAAGATTAAATTTCATGTCATGACATGTTTAGTTTCCCCATTGACATTTTTACCTTCACTTAGAAGCATTTCATTGGCTATTGGTGGAAACTTTTCATCATGGTCTGCTGTCTGTGTTGTCACGGTAACTATATGATCACTCACTCCTTGAGAAAACACAACTTGTAGGTCTATATGGAGAGAAATAGAGATTTTCAAAATCAAACAATTTTAATACATAATTTTGTATAAAATTATTTAATGATTTAGTGTAATAGTAGAAGATCTCATCATTGCTACAGATGTATGGAAGATCTGTCTTGGTACAGAATTATTATCTCCCGATGACATTGTAGATTGCTCAGTCTCTGACCTGTTACTTATGATGAGATTTAGAATAGAAGGATTGCCTCCCCTGTGACTTTCCTTATCATGTTAATAACTGGGCTAAGAATTGATGACTTTATAACTTAGGCTTTAGTACAGAACTAACTCCATACCTTGATATTGTAACAGATCCTCCTGGCCATTGTGGAGAACCACAACATTCTTGTCTGAGTCTTTGGTGCTTTGTTCACTCGTCTTCACCTCCTCCCCAATTCTTTCCTCCTCTTCCTCAACATCCTCTTCCTCCTCTGCTAGCAGGTGCTTCTTCATATGTATTGTACGACTGCCACTCTGGGTAAAACAACGGCCACATTCCTCACACTTAAAAGGTTTTTCACCTGCAATTATAAACAGTCAAGACATTGAATACTTATATATACATGTACCATATAAACCATACAAACACTTTATTTACCTTTACATTGCAAAAAAAACATATTTACTATGCCTTCACTTTTTGGCTCTCAAAATTTTGCAAATATTTCTACAAAGATAATATTAACAGACAACATTTCAGACTACTTGTTTATTTTAAATTAATGAAAAACTGAACAGGATAGATACATGTACTAGAATCTAGGGTAGGTAGGGAAAAGAGAAACACAGATTATTTTTTGGCCTTATCCAACATAGTACATATATATCTAGTGCTTGTCATGTAAAATAGGTATCTGATATAAAAGTAATGTCTTTAGTTCCACACTTCAGACAGACAAAATGAAAAATAAGGACATTAGTCTTTAGTTCAAAACTTCAGAAAGACAATATGAAAAATAAGTGATATTTACTTATTCATGAGTATATCAATATTAGGTATAAGTGATATTTACTTATTCATGAGTATATCAATATTAGGTATAAGTGATATTTACTTATTCATGAGTATATCAATATTAGGTATAAGTGATATTTACTTATTCATGAGTATATCAATATTAGGTATAAGTGATATTTACTTATTCATGAGTATATCAATATTAGGTATAAGTGATATTTACTTATTCATGAGTATATCAATATTAGGTATAAGTGATATTTACTTATTCATGAGTATATCAATATTAGGTATAAGTGATATTTACTTATTCATGAGTATATCAATATTAGGTATAAGTGATATTTACTTATTCATGAGTATATCAATATTAGGTATAAGTGATATTTACTTATTCATGAGTATATCAATATTAGGTATAAGTGATATTTACTTATTCATGAGTATATCAATATTAGGTATAAGTGATATTTACTTATTCATGAGTATATCAATATTAGGTATAAGTGATATTTACTTATTCATGAGTATATCAATATTAGGTATAAGTGATATTTACTTATTCATGAGTATATCAATATTAGGTATAAGTGATATTTACTTATTCATGAGTATATCAATATTAGGTATAAGTGACATTATTTTAAGTACTGGTGGATGATTTTTTTTTTTTCGTATTGCCTACCAGTGTGAGTGAGCATGTGTTTACGAAGACTGGAATACTCCGCAAATCTCTTCTCACATTTTTCTTTGGAACAAACATATGGCCGCTCACCTGAATTTTAAAAACATAATAAGATATTATAAATGCAAACATCTTTATTTTTCAATACTTGCGAAAGAAGTCAAAATTATAAATATTATAATGCTTTATTCACTACTGCAGCATACACTGAAACTGCCTCAGTAGCTGTGATCGCTAATGCGTACAGTTAATTCTTCTGTGTGCAATCAGCCGTGAGCTTCAGACCACTCACTGAGAATTTTGGTTCGATCTCCAGCAGTGGCAGAAGAAGAGAGTGATGTCTAATATAGAATTAGTTGTTATCCCTCCGATGGCGCGGTGGTTTCCCCCCGTGGGTCTTCCTCCATCATGAAAACAACATTTGTTCCCTTAGCAACATCATAATAAAAGCTCTACAGAGCTCATGTTTGTTGTTGACAATGTACACAAAGTTAAATAAAGATTATTATGACAGCACCAACTTTAATCTTATCAGAGCTAAAAGTTCAAGTGTGTGATTGCATTCTACACTGCTGTAAATACAATATCTTAAACACAGTTGACCCTTATTGGTCTTGTCACTTGAATTCATAAATGCAATGTCAAGAATAATTAAACCATATCATTGAGATTTTGTATAAAAGATATTCTACAATACTATGTACCAGAGTGGATCCTCTTATGGTTCTTGAGATTGCCTGCTGTTGAGAATTCTTTATCACACTCATCACAGGTGAATGGTTTCTCCCCCGTGTGGACCCTGGTGTGGACCTTCAGTCTCTGAGCGGTGTAAAACTTTTTCTCACACATGTTGCATGAAAAGTTCCTTGTAGACCTGGAGGAAAGAAACACTTCTGTTCCCAAAAAGTCTCAAAAGTATAACAAGTAATTGTCAGGTTTTTGTTTGAATACCAAAGTATGCTTGGGTCAACACCTGTCTATGATTCTGGTTTCCATTTGTATATGAACCTACATATAGGTAGCAGAGTACAGTAGAAATGGCTTGACCCTTAAAATAAAGGGCATGTCTCGGATAAACATGGATAGCGGATTCATCCTGCACAACACACCTACATATATATATATATATTTATAAACTACATTTTGAATAGTTTTTTTTTTAGAAGAATGATAGTTTTTTCAAAAAGTGATTTCCCCAGATTTGGAACTTGTGAAAACCATGGTTACCACATCAAAAAACAAAAAACACCAAAATATGCAAAATATCATGATTTTTAACCCAAAATTTGACCCCCGCAAGTAGATTTTTTTCTCTTAAAACCTGTCTGAAATTAAATATCGCCTATTCGGTAACAGAAATACTCACGTTTTAGCATAGGT